GCCTTTTAGCCCACTTGACCAGGCTAACCCTGAGCTTGTCCACAAACTGATGCTGCTAAGATTTTCACACCTGACCTCAGTGGAGAGGGACAGAGCCAGAGCAGGCGCTGGACTCGAAGGAAAGGAACAAAAGAGAAAGAAAATGGAAAGAAAAAGACACTCTGGGCATCCCTGGTGTTCTGCTGCTACTGCCAGGAGACGAGCAAAGTGTGCTCTGGGATCGGCCACTGCTGCGTTGCTGGGGAGAGGAGCAGGAAGCACCCGAGTGTGTAAGCAAGGAGGGATGCCAGCAGGGAACCAGGAGCAGGGGAGGCACAGATTCCCAGGCCATGTTGGCTATGCTGTGGCTGGGACTCGCTCGTGCCCTGAGAGCCGGAGGAGGAGCTGAAGGAGCCACACAACCTCCCTGCAGAGCTGGGCAGAGATGGCTGCGTGAGCACAGGGATCTCCTGCAGGACTGGAGAGGGAGGGGAAGCAGGTCCGTGCTCCTTGTGGGGTGATTTTTCTGGTGGCCACAGAGAGCCAGGAGTCTCCTGGCTGTGCTCTGCCCCAGCCTCACGCTGTGCCCTGGGCAGACAAGTCAGGATGAAGCTGTTGCCTTAACTCCCTGGAAGGAGAGGGACCCTTCTCCTGCCAGAGGGATCCCCCCTCCCACGCCCTGCGCCGCCACATCCCGGACGTGTTCCGGTGGCAAACGGGTGTGCTGGGAGAGATGGGAGTTTGTTCATGGCCTGGGAGCCACAGCGATGGCTTGGCCTCTCCTGCTGCGTGCTGGGCACTTCTGGGGGCTGCCCTGGGCATGGAGAGGCTCTCCTGGGCATGGAGAAGCTCTCCAGGGCATGGAGAGGCTCCTCTGGGCATGGAGAGGCTCCTCTGGGCATGGAGAGGCTCTCCTGGGCATGGAGAAGCTCTCCAGGGCATGGAGAGGCTCCTCTGGGCATGGAGAGGCTCCTCTGGGCATGAAGGAGCTCTCCAGGGCATGGAGGAGCTCTCCTGGGTATGGAGGAGCTTCCCTGGGCATGGAGAGGCTCCCCTGGGCATGGAGGAGCTTCCCTGGGCATGGAGAGGCTCTCCTGGGCATGGGTGGGTCTCCCCCTCTAAGTTTTGGTGCCCCTTGGTGCAGGAGGCTCTTCTGGGCATCTGGAACTGTCGTGGACATGTGTCAGGCTCTCCTGGGCTCAGGGGTCTCTCCTGGGCACGGGGGTCTCTCCTGGGCACAGGGAGCTCTCCTGGGCACGGGGGTCTCTCCTGGCCCTGTGTCAGGTCCCCCTCATCATGGGGGGCTCTCCTGGCCACTCCTGGGGGGTCTCTCCAGCGAGGTCAGCTGGTGCCAACGCTGGGAAGGGCATGGGTTGGCCTCTCCCCTCGCTATCCTGCCGTGGGGCAGAGGTGGGGAGGAGCAGACATTTCCAAGCTGGGCCTGCCCTCGGGTAACTCGTTCTACCTCACAAACAAGGAAGCGCTTGGGGCTCTGCAGCCTCGGTGGTCGTGGATCGGCTCCTGCGCTTCTGTCAAGTTTTACTGTTACAGAACTAAAACTAAACTGAACTAAACTAAACTAAACTAGTGATTTGCAAACCCTGGGAACCCACCCCGCTGCCCCCTCCCTGTGAAGGGACACCCAGGAAGGGACACCTGGGAAGGGCCATCCTGCAGTGGGGGCTGGACTCGGAGAGCTCAGAGCACCCGGGGGTCTCTCTTCCAGCCCCGCCGTGGCCTTGGGCAAGTCACTTCACCTCTTTGCCTCAGTTTCCTCATCTGTAAAATGAGGGTGGTACCTCCCGTGGTACCGACCTACCTCCGGGAGCGGGGAGGGTGCCTGGAGCCTGGCTTTGGAGGAGGGGAGGCACCAGAGCCAAGGTCAGCTCTGGGCTGGCCGGGCTGCTGCAGCTCTGGGTGCTGAGCTCCAGGCTCGTGGTCCTGGGGTCACTGCTGTGCTGAGCTGTGTTCGTTTTTTCTGGAGAAAGGGTGATTTTTGGGAATGGCGTGGTGCTCTGGGCAGTGTGGGAGCTGGTGGCGCCTCGCTGTGGGCTCCTCTGAGCCCACAGCCACCAAGGGCAGCGGCTCCACGCCGCATTTCGTTCCTTCTCCACCACCACGGGCAAACCTGGCTCTCTCCTGTCCCCGCTGCCCTTGGTGGCTGTGGGGACACCAACCTACCTCCCCTGGGGCAGCCTGAGGTGTTTGCAAAGTGCTTTGGGATCCTGGGGTAGGAGAGGGAGTTGCAGAGGGGAAATTCTGGCAGCGTCCAGGTCACGGAGCCTCCTGGGGAGCCCAGACAGAGAATCCCCCTGCTCCGAGCCCAGGCTCACTCCCATCCCCAACACAAAATTCACTTTCCCTGTTCTCAGTGGATCCAGGTCTGCCACAAAGTAATTGAGCAGATGAAGAAAGAACAAGAGTTGAATTTGCTGTCTAACCTTTTCGTTAAGTTAATCGTAGGTACTGACCTCCTGCTATTTAAGTGTTTACTATCTATTTGCTGTAAAGTTTTGTATATTTTGTAAACTTTCCCCCCCGCCCCCAAATCGTAGATGTCTAAAATCGTTGTACATCGGGTTCTTTTCTACTCCATTGTTCAACACAAAGTGTGGTTTTTATTTAGAATAATAAAACGGAAAACATTGACCTCTTGTAGCTGCTTCTTCATGAAACGTGTTCCTCCCAGGGGTGCCTGGGCAGCAGGTGAGGCCATCCCTGTATTCTGCTCCCACTGGATTTGTGGCTCAGGGGAACAATTTGGGATATTCCTGTGGGATTCAGGAGCAGGGTGGGAGCAGAGCCCACCCGTTGGGTTTGTGTGCCTGGATGAGCCTTTTCTGTGTTTGCCAGGAACTGGAGCTCCACGGGCTGGGAACTGAGTTCAGAATGGTTTTGAGGGGTCTGGAGCAGCTCAGTGATGAGGAGAGACCGTGGGAGCTGGGCTTGATTAATCTGGAGAAGAGGAGACTGAGGGGATCCTATCAATCCATTAAAATATCTCAGATATCCATATAAACATCTTATTGGAGAGGGGATCTCAACAATCCATAAAAATGTGTCAGATATCTCATTTGAGAGGGGATCTCAATCCATAAAAATATCTCAGATATTGGTATAAATATCTCATTTGAGAGGGAGTCAATCCATAAAAATATCTCAGATATTTCATTTGAGAGGGGATCTCAATCCATAAAAATATCTCAGATATCTCATTTGAGAGGGAGTCAATCCATAAAATTATTTCAGATATCTCATTTGAGAGGGGATCTCAATCCATAAAAATATCTCAGATACTGGTATAAATAATATCTCATTTGAGAGGGGATCTCAATCCATAAAAATATCTCAGATATTGGTATAAATAATATCTCATTTGAGAGGGCATCTCAATCCATAAAAATATCTCAGGTATCTCATTTAAGAGGGGATCTCAATCCATAAAAATATCTCGGGTATCTGTATAAATATCCTATTTGGGAGGGGGTCTCATCAATCCATAACAATACCTCAAAGATGGGTGCCAAGAGGATGGTGCCAGACTTTTCAGTGGTGTGACAGGACAAGGAGCAGTGGCCATAAATGAAACCACAAGAAGTTCCACCTGGACACAAGGAAGAACTTCTCAGGGATGTGGAAACAAGGTGCCCAGATCACCACATGGGTGACAATTTATTTGAGGCCACTCTGGCCCTAAGTTCTATGGACAAAAGTGCAGAGAAATTAAGACAGTTAAAAATTAAGTTTATTAGGTGAAATACCAAATTCTACATGTTTAAGTATCTTGAATATATTTTTGCCCTGGTGGATGGCTGGTCGTGTATTAATCATCCATTTCTTCCTTGGAAATGGGAGGGAATTAGCAAAGAGAAGCTCAGGGAGGATTTGGGATCAGGGAATGAAGGTGGTGGGGTCCCGTGGGTGCAGATCTCAGCCTGGGGGTCTCACAGCCCCTGGGGTTCTGCACTCACAGGTGTGAGGAGCAGAGAACGACCCGAGCTGCTGCCCTGAGCAGGGAATTCTCACCAGGGGTTTCTGTGCAAAAGCTGGATTGGGGTTGTGCTGGGATACAGAGGAACATCCCTGCAGAAGGAACCCTGAGGAATTTAGGGTTTTACCCCATCAGGGACCCCTGGAAGTGGCAGAGCTTTCCCAGCCAGCCCCGTGATAACCCCGTATCCGTCTCAACCCCCGGTCACGGGCTTCTCCCGGGACATCCTGCTCCCCCCTCCCTGCACCAGCATCCTGTCCCCAGAACTGCTGATGCTTTGCTTTTTCTCAGGCGTGTTCCTCGAGCAGCTCAAGGCTTTTGGTAGATTTATGGTCGCTCTGTCACCTTCCCCCAGCGAGGGCTCGACCCGCAGCACGTGACTGGGATCAGGATCCAGACAAGGATGAACTTTCTCCGGATGCTCCCGTTCCTTGCACAGCACAAGAGCCCAGCTCGTGCTCCAGCTCGGAGGTTTTCTGCACATGCCCGTGCTCCCACAGGGACTTTGGTGGAAGGGGAAGTGCTTTTGGAGCCTGATGGAGTTGAGAAATCTACCCAGTGGCCATAGAAACCTGCCAGGGGATGCTCCAGAGGAGGCTGGAGTTAATGGGGTGGGCGACCCAAAGTCAGTCTGGAGCAGCCCTTTTCAGTAAAACCCAGTCTAGCCATCACTAATTTACAAGTGGGTTTGCAAAATTGCTCTGAAGGAGCGGCTGATCTCGAATCCAAGTTGTTCCCCCCCCTCAGATCTGTGCCCTGCTCAGCCTCTTGGGCTGCTTCACCTTCATCTCTCAAAAATCAGGCTCTGGGCGTTGCTGGGCACTGGAGGGGGAGTTTTGTGTTCCGAAGGGATGGTTCCTTCTCTCCCACTCGGGATGGCACTCACAGGCACTGCCGTGCCCAGGGCTGGGGCCAGGGGCAGTTTGAGGATGCAGGAACGCCCGTGATGGGGCAGGTGGTGCTCTCCAACCCCACAGCCTGGGGCAGGATGGGGCTCTGACCTTGGGGTTGGGTTGTGTCAGACACCGAGTGCAGTAACAGGCTTTATTATCGCAAGGGTTTCTCTCGTCAAACAGGAAATACAATTTTCTCTTATCCTTTCTTCAGGTTGGACACAGCAGAGGCAAGACGCCCGTAGCTCCCAGCCCTCCTCAAAGCAGGCACCTCAACCTGCCACGGGAGGTGCCCAGCCAAGAAGGGCTGTGCCCAAGCAAGGTGTGTCCTCAGCAGCAGCAGGAAAAGCGATCCCACTGTCCCCAGGGAGCCACCACGACGGAGGCTGGGAGAGTCTGACCCCCCTTAGTTGGGAGGGCTGCTGTCCTTGGCGATGACTATGGAGTGCTGCGTGCTGGAGGAGGAGTTGTCGGCGCCCTTCTGGCCACCGTGGTCCTTGGGGATGTACTTGACGACGGCGGAGATGAGTTTGCTGCGGAAGTTCTTGCTGAGGAAGTTGTAGAGGATGGGGTTGACGACGCAGTGGAGCAGCGTGAAGCAGTCTATGATGTCGTAGAAGAAGTAGAGCAGGTGGGCGAAGGTGCAGTGCAGGATGATGTGGCTGCCCTCGAGGGTGAGCAGCGTCAGCACGGCGTGGAAGGGCAGCCAGCTGAGCAGGAACACCCCGATGTAGGCGTAGATGAGCAGGCAGTGCTTGCGGCTCTCCGGCTTGGCGCGGCGGATGAAGCGCGCCGTCAGCACGTTGAACGCCGCGATGATGGGGAAGGGGATGAGGAAGCCGACGGCGGTGGTGGCCAGGCTGACCGCCAGCGCCCACTCGTCGTAGGTCTCGAAGGGGGCCATGAAGATGCAGATGGGCTCCCCGGTGTTGACCAGCTGCATGTGGGACACCTCCAGGACGGGGATGGCGGCGGCCAGGACCCAGCTGCAGGCGCAGACCACGCGGCGCGCGCGGTGCTGGTGCCGCTGCCAGAAGAGGGAGGAGCTGGTCAGGGTCACGTAGCGATCCACGCTCAGGCAGGTGAGGAAGAAGATGCTGGCGTACATGTTGGCGAAGTAGAAGTAGTGGGTGAAGCGGCAGAGGAAGCTGCCCCAGAGCCAGGTGTAATCCAGCATCACCTCCAGCATCCAGATGGGCAGCGAGAGCAGCACCCCGAGGTCAGCGATGGCCATGTTGATGATGTACAGGTTGACCAAGCTCTTGCTGCCCCGTGTCTGCCAGTTGACCCAGATGACGAGGAGGTTCTCCACCAAGCCCACCACGAAGATGACCAGGTAGAGGATGAAGAGAATCACTCGCTTGATGTTCTCATCCAGGCTGAACTCGCAGTAGGTGTAGGTGTGGTTCAGGAGGTAGAACAGCTCGGACAAGTTGTGGTAGTCCCCGTACTCACTCGGGACAGCGTGTGTCTCCACGGGGACAGTGGTCACCTCGGCCATCCTGGTGGCTGCAGGGAAAGGGACAGCACTGAGCTGGGCAGCCTGAAAGAGAGACCCATTGTGTGGGGCTCAAGAAGATCCTTCTGGGGGTTTCTAACCTAATTTTTACTCCCACGGTGACTCCCTACATCAGCCTTCAAAAGATGCTGAGTCCACCCAGGTGATCCCCTCACATCCCAGGGTAAATGGCAGCCACAAGCAACAGTCACCACGCCTGGTGGCTGTTCCCTGTCCCAGAGCCTGGTCTGGGACATGGACAGGTGTCGGTGGCTCTGTCCCAAAGACAAAAGCCCCCGCTCCCACCCGAGCCCTCGGGTTGTGGTCACTCACCAGCCGCCCTCACTCTGCCAGGAGCCACCGGGGACATCCAAGTAGGTGACAAAATTATACATTTCAGGGAAACGCAGTTGACCTGAACATCCTCTTATTGCCCCAAGTGAGAGCTCGATCCCAGCCCAGCCTCCTGCCGCTGGAGGTGTCCGGGAGCAGCCGTTCCCTTGGGAATGCTGCGGGACTCTGCCCTTCCCGTGGGGTCTTCCCGCTTTGCTTGGAGCCTGGCAAGCCGGGACCAAGCCACTGCTGGTGTCCCCCGTGAGAACGTCATCCCTGTGGCTCCCACCCACGCTGACACCCCCCAAAACCAGGGGGAGGCCGGGCCTGCCACCCCCAGGGCTCCTGAGCCTCCCGTCCTCTCTGCGCTGCAGGGCCTGAGGAGAGACAGAGGGAAGGTGGGACAGATGGACGGGAGAGGGGACACATGGACAGGAGAAGGGACAGAGAGATGGGCGAGGCGACAGGTGGATGGTAAAGGGGACAGACAAATGGGAGAGAGGACAAGCAGACAGGACCAGGGATAGATAGCCAAGGGAAGGGACAGACGGACAGGAACAGGGACAGACAAACAGGAGAAGGGACGGATGGATGGTAAAGGGGACAGAAAAACGGGAGAAAGGACAGACAGGACCAGGGACAGACAGCCAGGGGAAGGGACAGACAGACAGGACCAGGGACAGACAGACAGGAGAAGGGACAGATGGATGGGAGAGGGAAAAAGGGAGAGATGGATGGTAGAGGAGACAGACAAACGGGAGAAGGGACGGATGGATGGGAGAGGGGACAGACAAGTGGGAGAAAGGACAGGCAGACAGAACCAGGGACAGACAAACGGGAGAAGGGAGGGACGGATGGGAGAGAGGACAGGTAGATGGTAAAGGGGACAGACGGACAGGAGAAGGGACAAGCAGACAGGACCAGGGACAGACAGCCAGGAGAAGGGACGGACGGACAGGAGAGGGGAGAGATGGATAGTAGAAGGGACAGACAAACGGGAGAAGGGACAG